CGTCGTAGAAGCCCAGTACCAGGGTGTTGGGGCGCATCCCGCCTGCCAGAGAGACCGCATCTGCCTGGCTGAGCAGAGGTGGAGGGCCCCACCAGCCCTCCTGGCACTGCACAGGTCAACGAGCCCAAGCTTGGCTTAGGCACTGCTCACCCTGGTGATTCCAGACTCCTCAGCATCATAGGATGGTTTGGGTTGGAAGGGACCTTAAAGACCATCGAGTTCTAGCCCCAGCCATGGGCAGGGACACCTTCCACCAGCCCAGGTTGCTCAAAGCCTCATCCAGCCTGGCCTTGAACCCCTCCAGGGATGGGGCATCCACAGCTTAATGTGGAAGTTGCACCCAAATGCCTCCAAGACTCAACTTGGCTTTGCCATTGCCCACCCAACACCTCTCCAAGCTCCAACTTGGCTTTGTTGCTGCCTGCACTGGGTGCTTACAACGCCCTTGGCATTCCCCTTCCAGGCGTCTTTATGCCCTTCAACATTGCCAACACAGATGCCTCCAAACTTGGCTTTAGCATCACCCATCCAGGTGCCTCCAAAACCCCTGCCACATCTCACCCCATAAGGGCAGTGGGTTAGATCCTCACCCGTGCCCAGCGCAGGCACCACTCACCGAGGCCAGAGGTGAAGAGGAGCTGCCGGACGCCGTGCCGCACCGAGGGTGCGAGGGTGAGGCTGACGAAGGCCTTGACATTCAGCTTGTCCACCAGGCTCAGCCACGAGTCCTGCTGGGGCTGCAGCGGGTCTGAGGGCAGCATGTCTGGTGGGGAGCGAAAGCAGCATCAGAGGGTTGGGTACCCCACACTGGGGGCCCACCCTGGTGTGCCAGCAGCACCCCTCTGCAAAATCAGTGCTGACCCCTGTGCCCTCCCCAGCACCCGTGAGAGCTGGGAGGGTGGAATGAGATGCTTCCAGCCAGAGATATGAAATTAAACATAAATATATAAAAAATACCCAGACAGCCCCATCCCCCCTCCCCAATTTCAGGCCATTAGTCACCACGGCAACGGTGGGGAGGGGGGAGCAGAGCCTGTGCATCTGCTGGGGGCAGGGATGGAGACAGCCAGGGCGTGTGCCGGGAGCACGCGTGTGCAAACCAACACGCACCAGGGTGCAAACACGCCTGAAGCACATGGATGCACAGCGGCAGGCACGAAGTGAAGAGAGACACAGGCACACACATGTGCAAGGCTGTGCCGAGTGTGTGCAAAACACCCACGTGTGTGCTGGGTGTGAACAGACGTCAACCTGTGCAAAGGGACGGTGCTGCACAGGGGCCAAGAGGAGCCTGGGTGGCTTGCGCCACCTATGCACACTAGCACTGACCCGTGCAGGAGCCCCATCTGCACGTATAGGGATGAATACTCGAGCACACGCATGTGCAAGCATGCAGGATGCGTGTGCAAGCACACGTGTACACAGGAGTCATGGCACAGACACAAGTCACCTACGTCCCCCAAACCGTGTCATACCCAAGGTGCCACACATGTGCCCAAAGCACTGACATTCCCCTGCTGTGCCCTGCCCAGCGGTGGCACCCCAGGGACTCCAGGAGCCCCCCAGCACCACAGCAAAGGGCAGAGGCCACCAGCACCAGAGACGGAGCAGACCCTCACCCAAGTCCTGCAGCTCAACATGGCCCAGGACATAGAGGCCACTCTTCTTGAGGTCATTCACAAAGTCAATGAGGCGGGCGCTGCCCCGCGGGTTCTGCACCATCAGCAGCATCTGTGGGCGCCAGAACTTGACGTGGTCCTTCCGCACGTCCAGCATCAGGAGGTACTTCCGCACCTGGAGGGAGGGAGGGCAGAAGATGAGGAACCCTCCTTCCTTCAATGAATTCCTATGAGCTGGCAGCCCCAAGGACACACTGCCCAGGACAGAGCTGCCACAGGGACACCAGCTTGGGGACACCAGCTCTCCACCCCATGAGGGGACAGCAGAGGACAGGGCTCACCTGGTGGAAGATGAGGGCCTGGCTGATGTAGCCCCAGGTGCTGCTGGGTGAGAGGTAGTGGAGGGCGAGGAGGAGGAGGAGGAGGAAGCCCAGGCTCGCCGAGGCTGACACGGGGCTGATGAGGAACATCATGACACAGCATCCCGCGATGCCCAGCAGGCATGTGTGCCAGGTGAAGTACCGGAAGGTGGGCCTGGAGCAGGGACAAAGGGACACCCGCTACCACATGGCCCCCATGGCAGCTGCAAGGTGGGCACAGCAAGAAGGGCTGTGCCAAGGTGCCAACCGGCCACCTCCCCCAGCAAACCCCACTGTGCCAGCCCAGGGCATGTCACGCACCCCAGATGCCTGTGGGAGAAGGCACAGAGGGGACATGTCCCTCCCAGGGCATCAGGCAGATCCTTGCTGCCAGCCCCTGGCAAACCGGGCTGTGATGGTCACAGGCTGGGGCTGT